TGTGGATAAGTCACCCGACTGCAGATCACAAGATACAGGGTTTAAGTCCTGCTGCGACACTGATGACCTTTGGCAAGACGTTAATCTATATTTGCCACTCTCCACCAAGGTGTAAATGGGTACCTGATATGGTCAAATAGCTATAGGCCATATAACATGTATGCACTAGGAATCTATACCAAGATGTACATGTATGTATGAAATGTAAACTCAAGAATGGAATGTATTTTTTTAAGCTGAAGACTAGATAACCAATAACTTTTTATCTTTCACTTTTAGGCTAGGAATCCATACCAAGCTCTTTGTGATGAACCCCAAGGCCATGAGCGTCATCGAACTCTATGGCATCCTGGACCCCATCACCCGTGACTGGACCGACGGTCTCCTCTCCAACATCTTCCGAGAGATCAACAGACCCACGGACAAGACCGATCGCAAGTACATCCTCTTCGATGGTGACGTCGACGCCCTGTGGGTGGAGAACATGAACTCAGTGATGGACGACAACAGGCTTCTTACCCTGGCTAATGGAGAGAGGATCCGTCTTCAGAAGCACTGCGCTCTGCTCTTTGAGGTTAGTCTTGTGTGTGTGTGTGATTGGGTTTTAACTGACGCATATCAATCAGATATGATGATTTACGTCTGGGGACCGACCTTTAACGTCACCATTCGAAAGACGTGACTCAGTTTCAAACTGGGGTCGGTTGAGTCAGTTTTTAGGCCAAGACAGAGAGCTGACCAAGTCGTGCCGCTAGACAAGCTCACATCTCCCTTAAAGCTGAAAGCCAGCATTTTCATATCATATCTATTTCTTTTTACAGTTTTAACATTCACTCTTCCTATGTAGGATTGAATGCAGACATTGATTGTTATGCTCGATAATCAAGATGCTTAGGAACATGTATGGTGGCCTAGAAACAAATGATAGTGTATGATGATCAAAATACTGATGATCATGGTACTTCAGATGTTGTATCAGATCTGGTATTTGGGGTAATGCTTTCGTATTATGCGCATAATGACAGATCTTTCTCGTGCTATGAGATATGGCCATAGGAGCTATGCAAAAGAAATGTTAGGATTCATAAGTTAAAGAAAGATGGAAAAGAATTAATACTGATATTTTTGAGTGGTGATGCAAATGAAGGAAACAGAGGCATTGGAAGACTGGAACTGAATTACGAGTGAACCAGTTGGTATTATCTATTCATTGATTAATCGAGAAACCACCCAGTTTTTGTAAACAAGGGATTAGAACGATCATATTACAGTGAAACCTGTCTAAAAACCACCCAAGGGAGACCAGAAAAGTGGTCTTTGTAGGCAGGTGGTCTTTATGTACAGGTTCCTTTAGTACATGTTTCAATGAAAAACCATTTTCAAGGGAAACCAAAAATGGGGTCTTTGTAGACAAATGGTCTTTCTATACAGGTGGTCACTAAAGCAGGTTTGACTGTATTTACCATATTGATACCCCTCCTTCAGGTGTCGGATCTCCAGTATGCTTCACCGGCCACCGTCTCCCGCTGTGGTATGGTGTACGTGGATCCCAAGAACCTTGGCTACCATCCGTACTGGCAGCGCTGGGTCGGTGGTCGCACCAACAAGGCTGAGCAGACAGACCTGACGAGGCTGTTTGACAAGTACGTCCCCGGCTGTCTGGAGATGATAATGGAAGGTGTCATCGATGGCAAGCAAGGCGATAAGCTGCAGATGATCGTTCCTCTCACTGCTCTCAATATGGTAAGTCAAGCATCTCCCGGTGGAGTGTTTCACATAGACTAAGATCAACTTTAAGTTGGACTTAACTATGGCAGGCCATTCATGCCACTGGTTGGTCTCTCAATTATGATCTTTAGATGATATTTTTCCTTAATGAACTCTCAAAAAATGTAGATTCTGTAGATTTGTGACCCTGATTTGTACGTCCCTTGAGAGACCAATACCAGTGAATGGTGAGAGCAAACAGTGGCATGAACAGCTTGCCATAGTTAAGTCCAACTTAAAGTCCATCTTAGTCTTTGTGAAACACTCTCCACCTGTACTAAGCAGTAGTGATAACAGTAATGGTATTTTTTGGGTATTGGGCATATCACATCATATAACATCCATTTAGGCTTCCAAAGTGCTTTGGATATATAACAAGCCTAGATAATTTATTGATTAACCTTGACCTACCTTGACCTACCTTGACCTAAGCCTTCCACACCATCTGGGAGATGTGTGACGGCTTCTGCTTCATGACCTCAAGCCAGATCTTCCTATCTTGTGACTATCTGGGGGGTGTTTCCCAAAGATCCTAAGTTGAACTTATCTCTAAGTAAGACTTAAAATTATGGAGAGCCATTTGTAGCCTTATAATGAAATACATTCAAAAGCAAAATTCAAGTATTTTAGACTTTTCATAAATTCCATATCAAGAACATGAAATTTCCTAAGATAATAGAAAACATAATTGATTAGAATCAACATTTTATGCCTTTTAAAATAATTTTTACAAAATATTTTCAATGATGCTTACAGCTTTCCATAAATGTTAAGTCCAATTTAGAGTTAAGTTTGACGTGGGATCTTTGTGGAACACCCCCCCCCCCCCCCCCCCCCCCCCCCCCGGTTGCTTCTGTGAGGGATCCTGGACATCTAGCATAATCAGCCTTTACACTTTTCTTGGCTGGTCTGTCCCGGTGTCTATCACCATAAATTGATAGATTATTGATTAACACGATAGCAAATATACATCTCAATCCATTACCCTTGGACAATATTGCCTGAGTGTAAAATCCTATTTCTCGAGTCAAGCAGAAGGTCATTATCAGTGGTATAAATCTGTTCAAGATATATTGTAAAACATTATCTTAGGAACTAACACTTCAACAAGCTCTGTTTCTAGTTAGTTCCTCTTTTTATTATATTTGTCAATCCATTGTATATTTTTTTGTAATATACTTATTCATTGTATTATGTTTTGCATGAGAAATAAAGTCATTTGAATAAATGAATCATTGGATCATTTGAATCGTTCTTTCTACAGGTGAACCAACTGAGCAGGATGCTTGATGCCCTCCTGATCAAGGAACTTGGTGAGTCGGACGTCCTGGAGTGTTACTTCCTGGAGGCCCTGTACTGGTCCCTTGGTGCCGCCCTGGTGGAGGACGGGCGCCTCAAGTTTGACAGCTACATCAAGAACATTGCTTCCATGCCAAGTATCTCTGATGAGAGCGTGGACGCAGGACCCGGAGAGTTGCCTGGTGTCTTGGAGACGGTCTATCAATACTTCTTTGACAAGCAGACGAATAAGGTTAGAAAATTGATATTTTTGGCATTTTTCTAACAAGTTGTTTGCCTGTAACGTTTTGACTACAGGATCCTGTTATTCCCCTAGGCTTTAATACAGGAACCGTCTTGCTCCTTCGCGCAATGGGTCAATACTTAGTTTCGATTTGGCTTTAATAAAAAATGTCACACCAAAGGTCATTGAACCTATTGAACATTGAACATGTATCATCCCGGAAACATTGTTATTCATATCAAAAGTGAAAAGGGTTGTGCACATGATGCACCACGCGTTACCCCGGGGTACCGTAGTACCCCGGGGTACCGCGTTGTGTAGCACCATCTCGCGTCCACTCAAGTACAATGTATGGAGTGCGTGTACATAGTTCCGTGGTTCTCTATGGTGTATACTATGCATGGTGTGCATGCATGCACTGCTCGCGCTATAGCGCTCGCTCACGATCACAAGCGCACTACGGTGGCTATCGCACACTATAGTGCTAGCTAGCTCCGGCGTCCGGTCCCTATTTTAGAACTTGATGTTATTGCACGTACGTACCTGTATACTCTTTCGAAAAAAAAACAACAAACAAACATCGCATCATCGACATAGTTAACGCACGCGTTACTGTCAAACTTTCAAACTTTGAAAATGCCATGGGTGGAAGGTGATGGTGGATACGGGGATTTACTGAAAGGGAAAGGACGTAAAAGACGGAAGATTACAAGGGCCGAGAAAGTTGAAAGAGCTCGATCACGTGCTGTAGAGAAGTTGGGGGTGGAGAAGGCCGCTGATGTGGTAGCGGTGTTTAGGAGGGCGAGTGACGGGGGAGACAAGGCGCAGGCTGATGGTGTTATTTTGACCCTGCTGGCCCAAGCCCTCTCGCAAATCGAAGTCGTAGCCCTACTTCATGTTGGGGGCTATAGAGTTGCTAGACTTGCAAGGTATTACTCATAACAACAATGAATTTTAGAAATACAGGACTGATACCCTTTTCACATCTACCAAATATTGCTTAACCCCGGGAAATAGGTGGGGCTAAGGGGCTCTTAGCCCCACCAATTACCCGGGGTAATTTTAGCCGGCTTTCTGTTCACATTACGTTTTGCCAAAGTGGGCTAACCCCACAAATAGTACGGGACTATCTGGCCCTGCAAAATAGCAGGGTTAGCCGGGCAATTGCGGGGTTAGCCGGGCAATTGTGGTGCTAAGCTGCGTAGTGTGAATCCGAACCGGGCTAAGGAGAAGCGGGGCTAAGCAACAGCCAATCACAGACAGCGTGGTCGTGTGGTCGTGAATTTGCATTTATCGCGCGCTATGCATGCAGTTCACGTTACGCATGCATGCTCTCTGTATTGACGTTTAGTCTTTTACGAGGCAGAGGTCATTATGAAAAAATCTTTATTATAAAATTGATTTAAAAAAATAGTGAAAGAACATGTAGCTCATAATTTTTTATTGCATTTATCATTATCAGTCATATTTACGTAGGTAAATTTATCAAGTGAATTGGATGAAAAATGGGTAATTGATTTGTATCGGTAAAATAATAAAGGGAAAACGCTTTGCGCAAGGCTGGATAACACAACACGAGCGAGCTAAAATTATTACGTACCGTACTGTATATTGTTGGTCTTTTTACCACAAGCAAAGAGTTCGTTGACCGATATTGATTAGGTCTATAGTTCAATTGTTGCATGCCATTGATTGTCTCCTGAATACACCGGAATGACGGCTTTACCCATCAGAAGGACCAATTGGGAAGATGTTGAAATCAGGTTTTTCCTGAGTCTGTGGGCAGAGGGGGAGGTCCAGCAGCAGCTGGATGGCACGGTCAGGAACAAGAAAGTTTTCGACGATATGGCAAGGAAGATGGCAGACGCGGGGTATAACCGGTCACCAAATCAGCTCCGAGACAAGTTAAAAAAACTGAAGAAGGACTATAAAGATGCCAGATCAAATAATGCTACAAGTGGGGCTGCAAGACAACAGTGCCCATTTTATGACTTACTGCATCCAATCATGGGTAATCGACCTGCCATAGAGCCCCAGGTAAAAAGATAATTTGGTAGATACAAGTTACGTAACTGCACTGTAGATCTAGATCTAGGCCCTACTAGATCTAACTTTTCTAGTCCAGATTAAGATTTATATTCAACTTTCAAAAAGAAGAAGGAGGGTCGACGGGAAGGAGGAGGAACTCTATACCATATTCATATACCATGTCTACCATTAGAAATCATGGCCTAATATTGCCTATTGGTTTTGGAGTTACTTTAATTGGCTCATTTCACAAATTATAAATATTGCCATTTAAATTCTAGATGATGGATCTAACGGGCGATCACGTCGAATAGGGGACCAGCCGGCAAACATACCCTACGGCTACACTCCACCCTACACCCTAACCCTAGTCGGCGGCCTAACGCTTAAACCCTATCCCTTCTCGTGTTATTTTTGCCAGTCCCCTATTCGACGTGATTGCCAGTATATACAAATTACAATGTAGATCCCTGTAGCTTTGTTGGATCTTTAGATCTTAAACGTTAGATCTAAGTTGGATCAACATGCGATGTGACAGACTATATTATTATATAGACTATGATAAATTTTTGGCTTGATCTATAGTCAAGGGGCTATTAAAATATTAATTTTAAAGGTTTGGGGGCAAGATGCCCTTTGCCCCATGTATTTTTGGCTGATGAGCGCTTTTTTTTATAATGCACTTTCATATCAAGCCCGCATGCCCAGTTATTGCAAACAAATTTTGTCATGAAACATTACATACTCCCTTTTCAGGTGCTGGTTGACACAGCAGATGATAGAGCTGAAGGTGCGGACGTTCCTGCTCATGCCGATGGTGCAGACTTAAGTGATGGTGATGACGACACGAGTGGCAGTGTCATCGAGGATGTTTTGGAACTGGAAGGTGGTGCGCGTGCTGAAGACAATACTGTGATTGCTCCAAAAGCAGAAGACCAACCATCAACGTCTACTCCCAAGACCAATGTAGGTTATCTTCTGTTTGACATGTTTTCTATTAATATTTTCCCATAAATTTCAATTTTGGGGTAATCCATGACATGTTCAGTTTTTAAATAAAATAAAATTACCATAATTTGTTAGTGTTCATTTGTGGAATAATGAGCCTAATTTTTTTTTTTTTTTGGGGGGGGGGGGGGGGGGGGGGAGTGGAAGGGGACTGTGCTTTGCAGATTATTTAAATGAGGCTTCAGCTGCTGACAACCACCAACAAACGGAAAGGTTATCGGAAACAGCCCGCCCCCCCCCCCCCCCAAAAAAAAAAAAAAAAAAATACGATTTAACTACATGTAGTACAACAGGTATTATTGTAGTGCATTAATTTTTATCAGGAGAGGTTTATTAATAGCTAGAGAATGTATCATTTTTTTCTTTCAATGCAGGTAAAAGTAAGGGGAAGGAAGCGACAGGCTGAGGAGCCAGCAGAGATGGAGAAGACCCTGAAAATACTGACAGATCACCAGGACAATGCCAGGAGAGAGTATAGAGAATGGGAAGAGCGACGGGAAGAAGCGCAAGAGAGGAGAGAGGAGAGGAGACGCGAAGCAGAACGCGAGCATGAAATGAAGATGATGGAGGTCATGGCACGGATGTTCAATCAGAACGACCGCCGAGAAAATGACAACCGCAAAGAAAATAACTACCGCCAAGAAAATGTGATGTTCACTCAAGATGGTAGATCTTTCATGAACATGTAGGTAAAACTGGTGTTCTCATATTAGTGTGTGAAGAAAAACATATCTTTCATTTTTATATGTAACTTAATACGCAACCACAAACATTTATTTTACATGTGTAAAGAAGTAATTATGTTCTTGCCACATAGCCATCTTATTTGTATCAGGTTTGTCTCAGGTTTTTTATGCCTCCGCCACTGAAGGTGGTGTCCCGGAGGCATCATGTTTTGGTGTTGTCCGTCCATCCGTCCCGCTTCCCCAAGAACCGCTGGAGATATGAACTACATTTTGTAACTTCAAACAGTAGGAAGATGGATCTGATTCGATTTTGGACCATGTATGCAAGGTCGAGTTCCGAAGTTCGAGGTATTTGCCAGGTTATCGGAAGATCACTGTATAGGAAGACAATATGATTAGATTTTTGGAGTAACGAGGTCAATGGTCATGGGTCACAAAAGCCAATCTGCTTTAATTAATGGTTCTAGGGGCAGTGGCAGATAGGAGACGCAGTTGCATTTTCCTTTCTTTATTTGTTATTAATTTATTTTTGTCTTGAGATTTGTGCAAATTGCAAACCCATTTTCTTTCTGTAGATAAGTTCAAAGTTAAGTATACATGGTTTATGTACAAATTAATATTTATTCTGTAGTATAACTGATCTAGTGTAGAGCATTGTTTGTGATGTCAAAGTTGTATTTTACATGTTTAGCATATGTACCTCGTGTAGTTTTGTTGTTAAAGTTCCTGATGCCAAAGTTGTGTTTGAACCTCATTTTTGCTGCTTGTAGTATTTATTTTAATAGCTGTTTTCAATGCCAAAGTTGGACATTAAAAAAGTTCAAATAAGATTACTACAAACTTGTGCTTTAAGTAATCATTACAGCTGGATTCCAGTGTCATTACAGGTACCGGGGGGGGGGGGGGGGGGGGGGGGGGGGGGGGGGGGGGGGGGGGGGGGGGGGCAATATGATGCAAATTTTATGGATAGATTTTCTGACACTGATGTTGTAGGTATTGATATTGGTGTAGTGTTGCCCTTGTGTTTTCATATCTTTACCTTTACTGGTGTAAACGAAATCATAACCTTTTATCTTGCTTATTTTATAGACAAATTAAAGTTTTCGGAAAGCAAACATCACCTTCCTTGTGAATAATGCATTTTTCCTTTTTTTTTTGGTTGTTGCTTATCCAGGACATTCATTTCAAGGGGACTGGAGGTAGAGATGGTACGAAGTTGAAATTAAATGCAAATGAAAGCACAGAAAAACAAATTCTGAGTGAGTAAAGTTGAGAGAAAGAGGAAGTTTTTGACAGAATCAAGAAGATAAAAACACACAGGATTTGTTGATTGGATGACAATGACAGGGCAGAGTTTTTTTTTTTTTGGGGGGGGGGGGGTGGGGTTAAAGATTGACAAGCAAGCGAAAATATAAAGGGTCGTATGCCTAAAAGTAAGTTATTGCTTTTTACTAGGATTTGACTTATAAATTTACTTATCATAACATTGTTTTTTGTTATAATACGTAAATGTATTATTACTCATCATGTACTTATTTATCATAACAGTGTTATAGTAAGTTAAAAGCAATTACTTACTTTCATGCATACGGCCCAATGTATCAATATTATTGGGTTAGCAAGGGGAACTTGTTCATAAGACAGTAGGTGCAGTGGAAACTCGATATAAAGAGTTCCGATATAACGAAATACCCGATTTGTTTGGTATTGTCTATTGACTACTGATATAACGAGCAAAATTTTGTGGTCCTACCTCGTTAAATAGAGTGAACACTGTATATGCTGCCTGAAAGGGAATTTGTCTTGCCAGTGGCACATACACACCATACAGAGTGCCTCTTGGCCTCTGAAAAACATTTTCAAAGTCTGGAGGACAACTCTCACCTGACAAATTAACTTTAGAGAGATTTGTGTTGGGGGCTCATCTTCAATTCTCTTTGCTTGCTTGCCAGACCATCTTCGAAATCTTACCCCCCCCCCCAACTATATCCTTGCCTATATTATGTCATCCAGGGGCTTCTTGGAGTTAGGGTCCTGATATGTTTTAAAGAGATAGAGAGAAAGCGAGTGAGAAAGAAAGTGAACAGTATTAACAGCCTTAGTAGGACAGAAACAAAACGACACACACTCTAAAAAAAAGCACTCATTCTCAAATGGCTTGTCCACCCCCCCCCCCCCCCCCCCCTCTTATGTTCTTCAAATCTGTTCATAAGGAATGCAAGGTACATGTACACATGAACTGTAAAGCAGGTACCCTCAAACATGAATTACCGGTAAGCCTGAAAATAAAGCTGTAAAAAGCACACATTTACATTGTAGTTTTGAGAGTATGAGACACAAAATAGCTCATATTCATTTTTTGGTTTTAATTCTCTCTGGATGGATAGTTCAATGAAAAAGTACCATGAGCAAAGATCTGTATACATGTACCTTGTTCACACCACTTTCAAACATAACTTTTCAGTGAATCCACAACTCAATTCAATCTGCTGATACATCTTTGCCTGCAACCGGCAATATCAAATCATCAATGCTTATGTCTGTAAACAAACAAGTTTCCACAAATGTCTGAAATTATATGTACATGTATTTTCAACTCTCATGAATTAATTATATTCTCAACAACATATTACATACAAAATGAAAACTCGTCCACAGTGCACAAAGTCATAGCATGCAAATTGATTGATGCAAGAAGAGTTTTAAATTAGCTTACCCATATCAAGTCCGCTGCTTTGTTAAAATCAGCACAATGTTTATAGATATGAAAGGGTATTCATGTTGAAGCATCAAACAAATATCAGGGCAATGATTCTTAATAGAAATTACCCATTCAACAGTTTTTTCTTATCCTAAGCAAAATAAACAAATAACAACCTGGAATCTTGCCAGACACACAGATTGGATATATCAGTTCATTTATTAATGTGATTCCATGTTAAGATTACCAGGATAAAAACATTGAAAATATTCAAAGGCTGGCATCACTTTATTTTTGGTAACTTCTTTACATAATATTGCCAGTACTATGGGATTACATGAACACAATACATATCTGGTAGTCCAATTTACTCTTTAAAAAAAAAATAGAAAAGAAAAAAATAATAATAAAAATAGCGATGATGATGCCAATAATAACTACCCACCATAGCAGTACTACTCACATTGTAACTCATGCCAGGCACTCTACCGTCCATAAAGAAAAAGTTAAGTTCAATTATTTATCAACAAATAAAATAAAATGAAAATGATATTAAAATAAACAAAAACATGTATGGTTATCCTTCACTTTTAATGTTATACACGATGTACATTATTTACACAAAAAAATACACACCAACAATTTCTGTACCGGTAATCAAAACAAGGTATTCTGATTGAACACATGTACACTGTCTATTTTTATATTTGGGTGTGGTACATCGATCCCATTTTCGTTCTCCATTTGAAGGATTAACTTACTCCCAGTAAACCTTGCCGTATGTATGCACATTGGTTTGAAGATGGTTTTGAATACAACAAGCTCATACAATGATAATCATCTATGAAATTCTTTAATCAAATTTTTAATAAAATGTAACTGAATGCGAGACATTGGTTGTTGGAAATGCCTCTGTAGACTGAAGAATACTAGTACTCGGTTAATATGGATTGCAAACAGATAATCCTAGTTTTGTTTTTCTTTCTTTTTTTTTGTGTGGGAGGGGAGGGGAACATTGTAGGTGGAGCTTTAAATTATTTGAAAAAGAAAAGAATACATGTGTAAAACTCCTGAATGTTTGGATTCAAAACATGAGATGTATGCAGTACTGTGCATCAACTAGGTCAACTTGCATTTGTTCGTCTTGAGAACTTAAGCATCTGTAAGATGTTGGAGTAAAGCATTACGTATCCTTGTTGCATCACGGTTTTGTTCGTCATTCATACCTGGGACATTTGGAGCCTGCCCATCCCCACCATTGGCACCAAGAAGATCAAGATCAAAGTTCTCACCTGCAGACTCGCATAAATTGTGTAAAACACAGCATGCTACCACAAGATCACCAAGATATTTTACATGAGTGTCTTGTCTTTTAAGAAGTATTCTCCACCTTCCTTTCAGTCTACCGAATCCATTTTCAACAACCATCCTAGCTCTGCTCAGGCGATAATTGAAGTGCCGTTTCTCTCTTGTTAGCTGGCCATTGTCATGGAAGGGTTTCATGAGCCATGGCAATAAAGGATAGGCACTGTCGCCAAGGATAGCAACAGGAACTTGCGTTTCACCAATTTCACGTAGGAGGGGAGGACATAGTTCTCCCTCATTGCCAAGCCTAAAAACCCTAGAATTAGTGAACACCCGGGCATCATGTACACTTCCAGGATATCCAAAATTTATGTTCATGAACCTGTATCTATGATCCACTAGACCTTGTAGCACCATGCTATAAAACCCTTTTCGATTATAATAATCCGCTCGAAATTCCTTAGGTGATAGCACGGGAATATGGCTGCCATCAATGGCGCCAAAACATTGAGGAAATCCCCACTTTACTTCAAATTCGCGTACGACATCTGCAGCAGCATCTCCTCGTGGAATCCTGATCATGTCGTTAGCGAGCGTCACCACTATAGCCCTGCAAACCTGAAATGAGATGTGATGGGAGAAGGAAAACAAGAAAGAAAAAAAGAGAGCAAGGTTAGTAACTACAAAAGTACAATATCATAATGTCTATCATTCATGATTTTTAAATATTCGATTCAAAGATAGGCCCCCTACTTAAAACAATAAATAAATAAAGCCTGGCGTGCCAACAGGGGTAAAATATGTGAACAGAAAACCAATTCATAAATGTCTATCATTCATGATTTTTAAATATTTGATTCAAAGATAGGCCCCCTGCTTAAAAAAATAAAAAATAAAGCCTGGCGTGGCAACAGGGGTACAATATCTGAACAGAAAACCAATTCATAAATAAATAAAGAAAGAAAGAAGTACAACCAAATCAGTAGATCTAATGAATAAATAAAAAAAAAAAGGAAAACCAATTCATCAATTAATAAATACATTTTTTTAAAGAAGGGGGTGTATTTTAATCAATAACTGAGGTATGCTTGCATACTAGTACTACACAGTCATTCGCCCTCGTATCTTCAATCATCACTGGCTTCGACATATTTAGAATTTAACCTTTTCAAAATGACCAATTTAATTATTTTCAATTTGAATATAGACCTAAACCATTTCAATAAATATAAACGTCTTTAAATAAAGCATTCAGTTGATAGAAGTGGTGTAGGGTCTAGGCCTAATGGGAACAGAAAAAAAAGAGCGGGCCAGCAGAATAATTAATAGGCCCTAGACCCTATATAAAAGCAAATGACAATGACAATGTTGGAATAAACAACAACAATCTATTAATTGCAAATATCTATTTATTTGGACTTAACAAGGCAGGGCTGTACTGTAGCCCCAACCAAGGCCATACCCTGAAACTTTCTGGCACTATACCCCCCCCCCCCCCCAATAAACAAAATCATTTTTAATTTCATAGCTAATTTAATAACCATCAATCTTTTTATTGGTTTATTTTTAAGTTTAATTTTCTAATTTTAAACAAGACTAGGTCTAGATCTATATCTAGAATCTACCTGATGAACTATGCAGCAAACAGTCGAAGTACCAACGCCAAACATCTGTGCTATGGTCCGATATTCTACATTGGTGGCGAGACGCCACAGGGTGATGGCAACCCGATGCTCGACTCGAATGGCTACCCGAAATTTCGTGTCCATCTTCTGGATGATTGGTCGTAGTTGGCCGCAAAGAAAGTTAAACGTTTGCCGTGACATACGGAAGTGGCTGAGCCAATCCTCCTGCTCAAATGTGTCGATGACGATGGTCTTCCACCAAAAGTCGCT